CTCCCAAATGATTCTTGGCAAGCCCAACCGCGTGTTACGTCAAAGAGCGGGTGGATTACTCGAGCAGCGGCGCCTTCGTTGAAGATGAGGGCCGGCATGCAAGTGGCGGCTATTCGCCTTGGTCTACTTCTTGTTCAGGAGAATGTTGAACCTGATCCTCAGCGTGTTCACCACTGAGCGGATCTTCGTGGCGTTCAACCCAGAGTCAGGTCACGTCATTCACAACCTCTCTCAGCACTCTGAGGTTCAATCCCTGTGATGTGGTACTCGGTGTTGGCCAGTGTTGGGTCGATGCCGCGTAGTTCGAGGGACACTTGTGTTGCCGTCTGGGTGTCCGACTTAAGCCCTGATGCCAATTCCATTGTCCATCCTTGCCGCTCCGAAGGGGTTGTGCTTAGCGGAGGTCTGGTGGGCTTCTCGGAGCATGGTCTGGTGACAATACGATGGTATTATCACTGGCCCTTCGGAGCTGTGGTAACAGCTGTCGAATTGGAAGCCTCCTAGGCCCGAGGCAGCTCGAGTTGTGGAGGACGATCAATGGAGAGGAAGCATGTTGCCAAATGATTTCCAGACGTCTAAACATGTGTTGAACAGGTTTTAAATATGTAAAAACATGTTTCAACCATGTGTTACACATTTCCGACATGATAAACACATGTTTAATTCAATGATAGGACTTTTAGGGTGTCCAGCGTCGTGGCATCCACAAGCTAGAGTCAATGTGACGTCGGCTGGCTTGATGCCGAAGGTAGCCTTTAGCCTGCTTTTCCCGACGGCCTTGCCACGACGTCCTAGGAGCTCCGTTTCCTTCCTGGATGTGTGCGGTGCGGAAGTGGGACGCAGACGCGGCCGTGAAGGCATCGGTGAGGTCATCGCCCGTCTGGATTCTTGGCTGCTGTGTGGCGCTCTGCTGCCGTTTGCTGTGTCGTGCCTCGTCCGCTTCGATGGTGGTTGTCGTTGACTGGTGCGGAGCCGGAGAATAGGGTTGTGAATATTTCCTCGAGTGCAGCTGTGGCAGCGATGGCATCCGCTTCACAAATGGCCGCGCGGATCCAGACGACGTTACCGACCGGGGAGACTTTCATTGGCCTGGAGGCACTTGACCTCCGCACGTCCGAGTTGGTATATGGTGCTTTGGGTTTTCCGAGCGTGGGCTTGGCAGCCTCCACCGTGCGCTGCAGCACTGTGATCCGTATTTCTCTGCTGGGGCAGTCCGTGAAGATGGGCACCAGAGCTGCGGGGGGCTAGAGGTTTTCCCCGAGTGCGGATGTGTTGGGACGGCGGTCGCCTTCCTCTGGCGTGTGCAGTGAGATGATACAGGTGTAATTTAGACCTCGCCGTTCCTTCACCGGCGGGGAGGATCATACTGGGGGTTCTCTTTCTCCCAGGAAGCTGGGTAAGAAGGAACAACTTGTTTTTTTGTTTTCTCTCCCGATAGACCTCAGCTCCGTAAGCTCGACATTCCCTCACCGTCCCTCTCAGGTGCTGCGGGAACTGGGACGTCCCAGTCTTGCGCATCACGGCTGCTGGGAGGGGCCTTGTCGTCTTTCCTTGGTAAGCTTCGGCTTCGACCGTGGCACCGGCTGGTGCGGTGTCATAGTCCGTGGTTTTGTTTTATTTGAGGGGGTGATGCAGCATGGTGCAGCTGGTTGTGTTCTTCCCGCGCAGTCTTATTAACTCGCCCCTGAGCTTTCGCTGGTCGGACAGGTGTTGCTGGTAAATGCTAGACGGTATCGAGGTCAGTCTGGTGCTTGTGAGCGAGATCGTTGTATGCAGCGACTGCTCCGTCGCCGCCGCCCCTGCACCTGGAGTGCAGCGACGCAGACTTCCTTTCCAGCCAGGCTGCTATCGGGGAAGGGAGTCTTTTGACGGCCCTGGCCTGTTGGCCAGGGCTGCCTTGGTGCAGGAGGCCCGCATCGAGGGCCTTTCGGAGCCATGGCGCGCGCGCGTACACTGAAGGGGGGCGAACTGGGACACTCTGTCGGTGCCGCGCTGTGCGGCGCGGCCCTGGCCTTCCCAGGCGGCAGCGGTTGCGGGGGCGTACTTGTCACGGCTCGCCCAGGGTACAAGTATTCCTGAGCCAATCTTGGACACATATTTGTATATATATAGAAGGAGAGAGGGAGAGAGAGAGAGAGAGAGACAGAGAGAGGAGAGAGAGAGGAGAGAGAGAGAGAGAGTTGAATATATATATATATAGAGAGAGAGAGAGAGAGAGAAAGAGATAACCAAACAAAAGAGAAGGAGAGAGAAAGGGAGAGATAATAAACAACACATAACGAGAGATAAAGAGAGAGAGAGAGAGAGAGAGCGCGATCGATAGAGAGAGAGAGAGAGAGCGATCTCTCCTCATCTTCCTCTCTCTCTCTCTCCTTCTGTAATTGTTCACACAGCAAGAGTCAGAGAGATAATATCGAGAGAGAGAGAGAGAGAGAGTTATGAGGCGGAGGATGGGTACGACGAGGAGGAGGAGAGGAATACTGCGGAGGAGTTGGACGAGGAGAAGGTATATGTGTATGCAGAAGAGGGATCAGTTTAGAGCCATGAGGAGAAGTTGGGGACTTTGAAGCGAGTATGATAACGAGGAGGAAGCGGAGGATGACGAGGACGAGGACGAGGGCAGGAGAGGGACAAGGAGGAGGAGGAGGTTGAGGAGGAGGAGGAAGTGGAGGAGGAGGAGGCGGCCGAGTCGGATCGGGATGCTAAGGCGTGGGGGTGTGGACCAGGGTGACGCTGGTAAGGTCTGGTGCCATCTCGGGCCCCGACGCTGGGAGACCCCGGAGGTCCCCAGAGGCCTCTGGAGGCAAGGGTCAAAAACGCCTGGCTGCCCCATTGACCCTCGAGGGTAGGGTCAAGTCGGGCCTGTCCCCCTACTGGGGGGTTTTCGACGACAAATAAAAAATACCCCCAAAATAGTGCAAACATAGTCCCAAAATAGTCTGGGTATTATTTTTTGCGTACTTTTGATCTTTTTGGTGTATTTTTGGAGTTCTTTTTTTTTCCGTCGATGATCCCCCTGCAGGGGGACACGCCCGACTTACGGGGTAGCGCGCACGGGGGCACGCGCGCGCCACGTCTCCGCGCGCCCTGCCCCGCCGTCGAGGCAGCCGCGCTGCGCCGGGGCGTTAATCGGCGCCCCCCCCGGAGATTTCGGGCGCGGCCTCGCCGGGGCCGGCCTGCCGCACTGCGTGGGGATGCTGCAGCGGTGCTGTGGCCGCACTGCACGTGGTGACTCCCGCCTCCTTTCAGGAGGGGGGAAAACACACAGACACAAGTAATCGTCGATCCCCCAGAAGATATGGGAAAAGGTATGATTTTTTTGGGGGAAGGCGGAAACCCAGGAAATATTTGAAAGTATGGGGAGTCCTGTGATTTGTGTGTATTTTTCTTATATATATATATATATATGTGTGCGTGTGTGTGTGTGTGTGTGTGTGTGAATGTATTTGTGTGTTCCAGGGCCCCTTCATCCTTGCAGTGCGAAGGAAACTCGCATCGGGAGGCGGGTGGCCATTCCCTGCCTCCCGGGGGCCCTCGCGGGGCCCGGCGGCACGGGCGACGCCGCACGCAGGGGGTCCGGATAGGTCTCTGGGGGTCCACGTTTGTGACGCAATCTCGGGGGTGGACAGACCGCCTACCCTGACACGTCGATTGGTGAATTGTCCGTCTTCGGTCTTCGAGAGGGCGCCGCGGCCGTTTTTTTGTTGCGGGCCCAGGTCCGTCGGTTTCGGTCCCAGGTCGGTTTCACGAAAGGGAGGTTTACTAAAGTCAAGCAGTGGCGAAGCGTCCTGGCTCGCCTGCAGCCCTACCAAACAATGTTCTAAGAACCTTTTGCGGTTGCCACGGAATGTTCTCAGAACATTTCTGGCTGGGACTGTCTTGATTGAACACATCGGGCTTATGTTCTAAGCACATTGTTTTTGTTTGTAGAACATTTTTGGGGTTCTAAGAACATGTCGTGGTATGACTATAGGAATGCCGGGACGGTCGGTCCCTGCTCAATAAAGGGAGGTTTGTCCACCGCCGACCATCGCGGCGCCAGAGTTCCGGGGAGGCAGCGGGGACCTGGAGCGCCAGCACGGTTTTCTGGGACTCGGGCGCCGCCCTCTGGGGGCATGGGGCCCCCATGGGGTCCCAGCTTCGCGCGGTGACGGCGACCGTGCGGTGAGGCCTTCGGCCTTTGGCTTGGCATCGCTCGGACGTGTGCATTGTTTCCTCGGCGAGGACCATCGAGGACCATCCTGGACCATCGAGCAAAGCAAACACGCACGGAGCCGAAACATGCACGGGAAATGGACGTCCGAGCGATGGCGAGTTGGGGAATTTCGAGGTCACCGCACGGTCTGTCACCGCACCGTTTTGGGACCCCCTATTTTTTTTTGCCCGTATATTGTCGCATGTCTTCGAACCTTGTGCTGTTGTTGTTGATGGTCTGGGAGGTGTCCCGTACAGAACGGAAGGGGGGGCAGCGGGAAGGGGGGATTGAGGATTGAGGATCTTGGTTTTCTGACGCTTGGATTCTCTTCGGGCCTCTCGAGGCCTCCAGAGACTTCCACGGACTTCGGAGATCTTCAGAGACCTGAGGGGAGGATGCTAATGATGATGATGCTGCTGATGATATGGGGGAGGAGGAGGAGGAGGAAGAGGAGGAGGAGGATGATGATGAGGAGGAGGAGGACGAGGAGTCATAATCATTATACCAATGCTAATGAGAAGAGATGGCGGAGGAGGAGGGGGGGAGAAAGGGAAGGAATGAGGGAATGAGGGAGGGGAGATGAGGATGAGGAGGAGGGATGATGAGAAGGAGAGCGGGGGGGGGAGCGAGGAGGGGGGCGAGGGAGGATAGAGATATCGGGGCAAATGCTATTTTCCGTCCGTTGGACCTCCTCCTGCGATCCACTCTTCGTCCAGCTGGTACTTCATCCACGCGTCGTCTCATGCATCCCTTTCTTGGTTCTGCGAACTCTTGCAGACGTTGGAAATGAACCAATCTTGCCAAGTTCATCAAGATCTTCACCGACGCCGAGGGCAAGCCACGGAGTTGCGGCAAGGCCGATGATCACGCTCCCCCTGGCTGGGGTTCAGTGTGCAGGCGAAAGAAGGATGGTCGAGAGGGGGGAGATGAGGAGGGAGAAGACGACGACGAGGAAGATACCGTGGAGCAGGAGGAGCAGGAGGAGGAGAAAGATGCGGAGGAGGATGAAGAGGAGGAGGATGAGAGGATGAGGAGGATGAGGAGGATCATGAGGAGGAGGAGAAGGTGGAGGAGGAGGAAAATACAAGCGATGGCGATGATGGTGACGGTGATGCTGATGGTGGTGACGAAGAGTAGTGGGTGATGATGATGATGATGCTGATGATGATGCTGCTGCTGCTGATAATAATGATGATGATGATGATGATGATGATGATGATGATGATGATGATGATGATGATGATGATGATGATGATGATGATGATGATGATGATGATGATGATGATGATGATGATGATGATGATGATGATGATGATGATGATGATGATGAGGAGGAGGAGGAGGAGGAGGAGGAGGAGGAGGCGGAGGCGGAGGCGGAGGCGGAGGAGCGGATGAGGTGGGCGTGATGATGGCTTCTTCCCCATGCGGCATCGACACGTAGCTCCGGCGTCGGCAGAGGCTTGCCGCGGCGGGTCCCATCCCGCGGCCTGCACCCCCTTGCGGCATCCGCGGGCCGACGTGCGCACCGCGCGAAGGCAAGCTTGAGGAGCAGCGAACACAGCATGCAGTCGGACCAAGGTGTGAGATCGAGGTTGGTTCGGAGAGGGTGCCCCAGTGTTCTCCGTGCTTGTGGCTTGTTCTTGTGCCTCCTGGGGGAGGGCACCCTCGAATCATCTTCAGGGCGTGGGACGCTTTGGCTGGCGGAGGGTCTCGTGCTCTCGGAGGGTGCTCTTCTGGCCCAGGTCCGGCTGCTGAACATGTTTCCACGGAGGCCCGCACGCGGATTTCTGGGATGGGCGTTGCAGCCCCTTCCTCGGCGCGCGTAGCGCGCTGGGGGCGGCGCCGGAGGCGCCGCTAGGGTGGAGCAGCGCCGATCCAAGAAGCCCGCGCGGACTTCCGATACAAACAATGTTTATGCCTTTGTGTCTGCTCTTCGGGCCTCTCCAGCCTTCACCTTCCGAGCTGGCGCAGGCGCTCGGCCGCCGCAAGAGGGGCAGGCCCCAGCAGACGTGGGCAACAGACTTGTCTCAGCGTGCGGTGCAAGTTCGCCGCAATTCTGAGCGGAACTCTTCACACTTGGGCAGGAGGAGGAGGAGGAGGAGGAGGAGGAGGAGGAGGAGGAGGAGGGATTAGGAGGAGGAGAATGGAGGAGGATGAGGAGGATGAGGAGGAGGAGGAGGAGGAGAGGGATGAGGAGGAGGAGGGGGAGGTGAGGGAGGAGGAGGAGGCGGAGGAGGAGTAGGAGTGAGAGGAGGAGAGGGGAAGGATGAGGAGGATGGAGGAGGATGTAGGGTAGGAGGGGGAGGAGGAGGAAGGAGGAGGGAGGAGGGATGAGAGGAGGGGGAGGGGAAGAGGGAGGAGGAGGAGGAGGAGGAGGCGCAGGAGGAGGGGAGGAGGAGGAGGAGGAGTAGGCAGGAGGAGGAGGAGAAGGAGAGGGGGGAAGAGGGGGAGGATGAAGGAGGTGAGACAGCAGGTGCGCCAGGTATCCGCCTAGTCGCACGCTCGTGCCTGTTCATTCTGCCTACGGGCACGCGGCTTCCTTCATTCTGCTCTGCGTTGACACTTTCGCGCGCGCCATCGTGTCAGGACTTCGTCCTTCTCCCTCCGATGAGCTGCGGCCTCTTTCTCCCCTCACTCCCTCCTCCTTCTCCTCCTTCTCCTCCTCCTCCTCCTCCTCCTCCTCCTCCTCCTCCTCCTCCTCCTCCCTCCTCCTCCTCCTCCTCCCCCTCATCCTCCTGTCCTCCTCCTCCTCCTCCTCCTCCTCCTCCTCCTCCTTCCGCCTCCTCTTCCTCCTCCTCCTCCTCCTCCTTCTCCTCCTCCTCCCCACTGCTCCGATCCTGGCGGGACCGCGCCGCGCAGGGAGCGCCCGGCCGTCCGTCCGTCCCGACGCTGCATGCGTGCGGCAGGGCGCCCAGGACGTCTTTCCTCGGCGGCGAGCGAGGGGGGGAAGTGAGGAGGACAAGGCCTTCTCAGAAAGCGTCGGGACTTCTCAGAAGCCCTCGCGCCTTCTGAGAAGTTGCCTGCGTCTTCGGGGAAGGCCAAGGCAACTTTTTCATGAGGCGGGGGGACTTCCGAGCCTTCTGAGAAGGCCCACCCCTTCTCACTTCCCCTCCTCGCTCGCCGAAGATCTTTTGTTTGCCAGACTCTGAGCGACGGTGCTCGCAGCATTCGAAGACGTCGACAGACGAAAACAAGTTCCTCACTACGACTTGCGTGCGCGAGCCACAACTCGTATCCCAAGATACTCCGTTCCCCTCTCCCGAGATCTCCTCGTGGCGAAGATGTCGCTACGGGAGGTTTGTGGCAGTATTCGGCCCCCAGGCGCCTTCATCCGGCCCCCAGGACAGTCGACAAGCGAGCCGGGATGAGAAGCTGGTCCTTGAGAACAGGTCTAGACATCAGGAGAACAGTGCTGTGTAAAACATCGGCGTCGGATGTCTGGGTATCGGGGCCACCTCGATTCGACCGATCCGACGCTGGAGTCG